AGTCGGCTGAAGTGTCAAGCGATCTGCTGCTCTATTAACCAGTCTGTCCTATACAACATTTCTAGCCGGTGTCGTCTCGTAAACTCCAAATTTGGGAAGCCACATTAGAGGCGGTTGACATCGTACTAGTTTCCTCTCCTGTCCGGCACACTTCTAGGAAATACTATTTTGCTTTTTGCGTTTTCCAAAGGGCCCATCCAAAGCGGTCCACCTGGCTAGTAAGGGGTTGTTCGTCAGAATTTTTGCCCGAGGTCCGACCTTGAACGTAGCCATCCCCTATAGATTGATAAGCCTCCGTCTATTTCCTCTTGATCTCATCAAAGGCCGATATTTTTTTCAGCTTCAATTTGTGTCTCTGCCTATTTTAAGGTGCCTTTGGAAGGCAGTAAATATGACTATAACGTTTTGATACATCCTTCCTCTTGACAAGAATATCTCGCTCTCTTTCTCTGTCTGTGACTGATTGAATAGTTCTCGCGATGACCCGGGTTCAGAGATCTGTGCACGTTGCTGATAACCACCCGCTTCTACGATGAGTTTGCTGAAGGTTTCTAGAGTGAGGATTGAGGGCTTTTTAGACGCTCGCTCACTTATGCAGCATCACTATGAGGACGCAATACAATTGATACACATACACTACACAGGATCAATACCATCCGTTGGGCTGTTGCGGGAGGGAAAAATTTGTCATTTTTTTTTTTGCGTGCGAATCAAGGGAAGACAAAGTTTTTATAACATTTGAAAAGAATTTCATGGTACTCAATAGGGTGGTTACCTCGCCGCTCGTTGGCAATTATCGTCGGCCAGAGTCAAGACTTGCCAACCGGTGACCTCGCCCTCGAGTAAATTAATTTTCCAAATGTAATTGCGTTCGACATTAGGAGAACGCAACCCATAGTCCTATGGTGCTCAGTTGGGATTCCTGTGTTACTCAAGGCTGATCTTATGTGGTACTCATTTTCGTCGTCCGTTTGCATTTTCAACGCCATCTTGAATAGTCTATCTCATTTTGTCCATGTCACATTCCGATGCGCAAATGGCAATCGCTCACCTTGTGCCGAGTAGTTTAACTGGAAGAAGAGTAAAAGCGGTAATTTTTCCCGTTTGAAGTAAGCTTAACCGTTTTTTCAGACTTTTGTAGCTAACTTTTATCCATTATCCAAGCCTGAGGGAAGTTTGCGTCACTTCTGGAACATTAGGAAAACTATTTCAAACGAGTTGTGTTCTTTCGGGAACAATAAAGCATTTCACGCCGATCTTTCCTTGGTGGCCATGTCACAGCAAAGTCACAGGCGGCAAGTTGAGTGGCGGTTTTTGCGGGCGATAAAGTCTTGTTCAGCTCCTAACATCATCGGCCTCTTTACTGTACAATATTTTCCACTTAGCCTTCAACTCCTCTGCAGACGTTTCCCTCTGGTTTAAACTTATTTACCTCAAACCGCGTAATAGGTACCCAACCATTTGTTCCCTGTTTCGTATAAGACCTGCGTTAGCACGAAAACCAAAGAAAACCTTCAATCTCCACCAAGAACGTACTTCATAATCAACGACTACGACTATTAATAAATGTGGCGAGCGTGAGAAAATGCACATTTTCACTGCTGTGATCAAAGCACAATGATGTATCGTAATTAATACGTACGGTATCAAACCAGTGACTATGACAGGGTGAGCCTTAATTTTTCTGCGAGGTCGACGTGACTTTACATTAACGGCGATTTTTTTTTTTACGGAACAAACTAGTGAGCATCATTTCACCGACTGAGAAAGTAAAAACTTGTAATTATCTTCCATGCGTTTAACCTGACAATAGCAGGCTTCATCCAGGAGTTTTACAAGTTGGGTGAATAAGCTTGCTTAAGTAAATAACTTGTCTCTTTTCGATTGAAGTAAGTAGAAAGAATTCGCCAGGTGCGCCTGCGGCGTTGTAAATGCGTAACATTTTTCGGACGTACGTGATCTGTTTGAGGGTCACAGATTAAGTGGGAATATTTGACCTCTCAACACATTACATACTCGTCCATGTAACGTCTCCCTTTGTTTTCTCAATTTATGTTGTCGCAAACACAGTTTTTGGGAGTCACAAAACATAAAACTTATCGGGACCCAGTTTCATATTCTAATTGCAATAAATTATAAATAACAGGGGTTCTTTGAAACAATCAGTAGTGGAAAGAAAGTTTTAGATCTGCTAACTGAGGGTGTAACAAAATGTATGCAAACTCTCAGAAGAATCGGTTAAAAACCATCGCAGGAACAGCTTCTTACATTTTACCCATTTTGAAGCGATTTCCTTGGTGAAAACCAAGAAAAACCGGGGGGGGGGTGGTCTATCCTCCTTCCTTTGAGAGGTGTTCAAATTTCAACGAAGTAATGGGGGATTCGGAGAGAGCGGTTCGTAGAATGGAATTAGAATGAGAAATGTTGGCTTTTCTGTGTTTTAAAGGTGTATTTTACCGCGCTTCATGAGACTGGACAGATGAAAGATATCAGGCGAGTTACTCATGCTGTGAAGATGGTGGATAGTTATTCGAGAGTAAATGGAGTTCTGTGCGCTGTAACATGATCATGGTTATTGTTCCTTCAAGACGAGAGTGAGGGGAAAATTTTGAATTAAATATTGCTTGAGGTGTTGATGAACTGCACCAAACATTTTGATTTGAGCGGTTCTTTAACGGCAAGCTGTGTTGCAAGATTCATGATTTGTTGAGTGTGCCGATCGTACTTTTCAGGATTGGTTTGATCGGTGCTATCCTCAGATGAATGTCTGATTAAAATTAACCATGGACGATTTTGTGTATGTTTTCGATGCCTGGAGAAAGTGATCTTGTGGAGTCGTTTGTGTTTGGCCAAGGACGAATTCAGATACCATCGTTAGCATGTTTATTTGATTTTCTTATATGGAATGAATGATTTACGGAAATGTTGTGGTTCAATTTTATCCTTAGTTCAAATTTTATTTTCCTTTGTTTCAAATTCATTATCAAACATTACAATACCCAAAAACAAAAGGAAACGAAATTTGAACCAAGAATAAAATTGAACCACAACAGAGATAAGTTAATATGATGTGATCTACAAACGTAGAAAAATTAATCAAGCCGAAGGAACACTTTTGGTCCCGGCCCGCATTTTCGTCTACAAAATAAACACATACCGCTTAAAAAGATGATAAGACGGACCGCGTGCAAAGCTGTCAATTGTTTCTCGAATGTTGCGCGTGTTAAATATTCATGTGACATCTCCTCAACATCTACATCTACTTTTATTACTTTGGTAAACTGAAATCTGTACAGACATCACATCAACTAACTCGTGCGCAAAGTGAGAAGACTATATGAAGGCTTGAAATTATATTATGATCGATTTTCATCAAGAAATGGACCAGGAATATTCCACAATAGTGCAAATAATCGTGAAAGCTGATCGCGGAAAAGCCATTACGTGACGCTCGGTAAGTTGTAAGTTGACATGTTATCACATACCAGACGAAAAAAAACTCTTTAGATTCTCAGTCTGCATTTTGTCCCAGTCTACATTTTGTATCCGGTCTGCAGTGTGCAGTCTGCATTTTGTACTAACAAGTATCCGTGACACCATTACAGTTTATTTTTGGTTACAGTTATTCACACTTCATACACACTCTACCACATAATTCCTGTGTGTGAGTTAATTCGACATTTTCGTTCTTTTCCGCGTTAATACTCCTCTTTCCTTTTGTAAGAATGTAGACATCACTGACAATGTTTCAAGTAATCCACCCACCCCCCAAATAACTCTTGCATGCATAGCATGCCAATGTTTTATAGCTGATGGGGATGATTGGTGAGATGTGAAACCACAAAGGTTTAACGAAGCCGCTTTGTAATAAATTCATATCTCTTCGGTTGCGATTTTTGCATAACATTACTTGACTTGATAGGCACAGGACGATATTAATAAAACAGCATTCATTTTAACACTTTTCCTTTTGCGAATCCTTTCTTTACCCCAGGTAAAAAGTGTTTACGGCCGGCACGACTCCTGCCAAGCATTGAGTTAATACGAACGAATTTCTCAGAAGTTGCCCGTATGTTAACAAAAACAGACGTGTGGTTGACAAAGATCCTTCAAGATGCTACATCAAATCATTCCTCAAATATTGAAGGTTTTATTAACTAAAATTTGCAAAAGGCTTTGAAAAAAGAACCAAACCAGATTTTAGCGATTCTTTTTATACCTAAACTACTGTTTTAACTTTACTGATTTCGCTTTTCTTTAAAGCCTTACCTACGTCAACATTATTTCGTGCTTATTATTTCACAAATACAAACAACAACATTCTGAGTACATAACCAATGTATCCTTTTGAGAATATTGGGACAGAAAGCACAAAAAATTGAAATAGATCTCCCTTAATTTGGGATAACTCTTTTTTCAGTTTTAATGAAATACCGGATAAAGTATTTTCCTTACTTGTTTCTATTTAATTTATCCATCTAAAAGTCTTTTAGCTCTGTTTCCTTCGAGTAACTCACATTATTTCCTCTGTCGGGGTCTTTTTTCCTGTAAACAAGTGAGAAGCAACAATTTATTATTAACTCAATTAATATTTGGGATATAAAGCAAATACAATTATACGAAGCATAATATGTAAATATATATAAGGCTAACAGTTATATCCGAAGGGCAGAGAGGCACTTTCGCAATTCTATATTTTACACCAGAGAGCGTCGATAATAAATATCCAAAAGAAAAAAAAAGAAAGAAATATATATATATATATATATGTAAATATAGATATATAGATATATATAAACATAGATATAGATCTATATAAAACTAGCCTTGATGTTCAAGTTAACAACGGATCCCCGCCGACAGTCAGCGACCAGTAAGTCATAGCCACCTTCACACCTAAATTAACTTTAATTTATGAGATATCTGTTCTCATCAAGTCTCACCTCTGCATGGCAAACTCGAGCTTCACATCATCTCCAATCAGCGTTAACGAAGCCCACTCAATACTTGAGTATTGTCAAAGAAGGAATGACACGGATCCTATGAGTCTCCGACAGGTGTTGGACTCCCTCCTTTTCACTCAGTGCAGTAAAGGGAACTTTGTACAAACTGCGATCAGGAACAATAATGACTTCAGGCTCTTCAAGCAAATCATAAACGGGGGCAATAAACAGTTTGTAACACAAAGATAGACTTGAAACGACTCCGTCCTCCTCGTGCTTCTCCATGAGTCGCAATCTTGCTGAGCTCTTTTGTTCGAGGGAGAGAGAGGTTGCAATTCAACCATATTTAAAGACAGATCTTCACAATCTTCAATGGGTAAAATACCAAGGCTCCGGAAATAATCAGCCAAAAATTGACTCAAAGGCAAATCTTTGGGCAACCCAGCCTGAACTAGATTCTCTTCTAGTGATATTCTTTTATAATAAAGGACTTCAGTTGTTTTCAAAATCAACAAATGCAGCTCATTTTCAAAAAAAGAAATGTACAGACAAGAACAGTTATTTTTCTTTCTAAAAACGTTTTCAATGCCAAACCAAGATTGTGGATTAGCAGAGATGTGCGATTCAACCAAGTACTTCTCGGCCATTAAGTCTGATAGGCCTCTAGCTCGACCCAACTCCTCAACATAAAGAGCATCACGAGTATTTCCGGTTTTACAAAGCAGAGTGCAAAGCAGAGTGCAAAGCAGCTTGTAGGGAAATATTCCTGAGTTTTCCAGAAATTATGTTTTGAACTGATCATTGGCGCCTAAGAAATATCTCAGCTCGTCATACTTTTCAATGCACAGATGAGGACACGCAAGGGAGTCCTTGATTTTATTCTGAAATAAATACAAAATGGCGTACTCTTGAAGGACTTCGAACTCAAATCTTCTACCTCCAATATCTCTGGGTATGGATAAAGCTTTCTCCAAGTATACTTCCGAAGCTTCATAATCTCCAAAAATTCTAAAAATAATTCCTAGGTTTCCGTAGTCACCTGCTTCACCTTTTCTGTGGTCAATTTCAGTTGCGATGACAAGCGCTTTTTGGTAATACTCTTTAGCCTTGTCGTATTGCCCAAGTGACTCGAACACACTACCTAGGTTTCCATAACATGTTTCTTCTCCTTTTCTGTCGCCAATCGCCGTTTTGATGGCAAGCGCTTTTTAGCCTTGTCGTATTGTCCGAGCGACTTGAACACAGCACCTAGATTTTCATAACATGATCCTTCTCCTCCTCTGTCGCCAATTTCAGTTGAAATAACAAGCGCTTTTTGGTAATACTCTTTGTCGTATAGCCCGAGTGACTGGAACACAGTACCTAGGTTTTCATAACATGATCCTACTGCTTCTCTGTCGCCAGTTTCAGTTAAGATAACAAGCGCTTTTTGGTAATACTCTTTAGCCTTGTCGTATTGCCCGAGTGACTGGAGCACAGTACCTAGGTTTACATAACATATTCCTTCTCCGTTTATCTCGCCAATCGCCGTTCTGATGGCAAGCGCTTTTTGAAGATAGACCTAGGTTTTCATAACATGATCCTTCTCCTTCTCTGTCGCCAATTTCAGTTCTGATGGCAAGAGCCTTTTGGAGATACTCTTTAGCCTTGTCGTATTGCCTGAGTAACTTAAACACAGCACCTAGGTTTCCGTAGTCAGCTGCCTCTCCTTTTCTGTTGTCAATTTCCGTTCTGATGGCAAGCGCTTTTTGGAAATACTCTTTAGCTTTGTCGCATTGCCCGAGCGAATGAAACACAGTACCTAGGTTTCCGTAGTCAGTTGCCCCTCCTTTTCTGTCGCCAATTTCAGTTGTGATGACAAGCGCTATTTGGAGATACTCTTTAGCCGTGTCGTATTGCCCGCAGAACTGGAACACAGCACCCAGGCTTCCGTTATATGATCTTCTCCTTTCCTGTCGCCAATTTCAATTGCGATGACAAGCGCTTTTTGGAGATACTTTTTAGCATTGTCGTATTGCCCACACAACTGGAACACAGCACCTAGGCTTCCATAATATGATCCTTCTCCTTTTCTGTCGCCAATTTCAATTGCAATGACAAGCGATTTTTGGAGATACTTTTTAGCTTTGTCATATGGCCTGAACAACCAGAACCACAGTACCTAGTTGTCCATAACAAAATCCTTCTTCTTTTCTATCGCCAATTTCAGTTGTGATGACAAGCGCTTTTTGGAGATATTCTGTAGCCTTGTGGCACTCCCCGAGCGACTGATGCAACGTTCCAAGGTTTACGTAACAATATTTGTCCTAAGGTATGTGGTGTACTACTACCACCTTCACGGGGGTGAGACTGGACATTCTAGTAGATGGTCCATACATCTGGACTTTTTCCAGTAAGTGCATTGTGATTTGCATTACAAAAAGAGCAGAGGGTGTGTGCTGGCGCCTACACTCTTCTCGCTATTATCTGTCAGCGATGCTCATCAGATATATTGACAACATATTTAAGCGTTAAGTCAAGTACATGTGTTTTCAAATTAGGGAAACTTTCTGTCAATAATGGTTGAAAGCGAAGGTAGTTGATTAATTTATCTTACTCGACCAATACTGTTCCAATGCTGGACTCACACTTTAAGACCAGCGGTTATTTGTAATAAGTAGGCCCAAAATTACCAACGAATTGCCTAAATTTAAATAGATTTTGCTTTTTGGATATTTCTCAGATATCATTGGCTAATTTTCAGCTGGTTAAGATGTCACTTTTTTACCTATGTATTTTCTACCTTTCTTTCACTTCGTTCGCTTGCAGTTTATCACTTCCCTTTATCGGAATAGTATTTGAGATCTCCGTGCTCATCTGATTAAGCTACCAAATTATTCCAGCTTTTGTATGATTCAATACTGATCCCTTCAGATTCACCGTAAAAGGAAATATCTCAGTCAGAAAGCAACTGGTTTCCTTGATTTCCCATCATGTTATCACTGAAAACTTTCCACTTGAATATTCTCTTCGCATATCTTTATTTTTCTTTAATTGCTGCTTCCTGTTCTCTGTTATTGCACTTAGCTTGATTTGAAGCCAAAACAACGGTAAAAATGCAAAATATACCACCGACAGACATTGGCTACGTAACTAATTAGAAAAAAGCTATAAAACGGACAATTACGAAAATGCACGGTCATTCAAGGCTACTGTTCCTCAGTGAAGGCGAGGCCGATGTTTGACGAGGAAAATGGCTTTTGTTCAGTTGTATAGTTTAGCGTTGTTTGTGGCTTCCACAAAAAGTAGCAGTATGTACAACATGTATTCCAACATGATCATGCCTGATGGCAAAGAAAATTACAATGTTTCCGACAACTACAATGAGGCCGCAGACACACTGGAGTTTATGGTGCAAGTAAGAACCACAGGTTGGGTTGGTTTCGGTATTGCTGAAGTAGCATCAAATAATATGAGTTACTATGATGTGGCAATAGGAGGAGTAACAGATGACGGAACAAGCTATCTGCAGGTAGGTCGGAATAACAAAATTTAAACTATCTAAACAACGAAAGAAAAAAATCGTGAGATTCGATTTTAAGTTTCGCGTCACGTATGATTCGTTTTTTGTCTGATTTCTTTCATTTTCCCTTTAAAGTTAAGACACTAATTTCTGACCGCGAAAAATATTTAAAATTAAAGTGAATAAAGTTCAGTGGAGATATGGACGCAAGTCTCTTAATTTAGAGAGAAATGGTATGTTTATTGTTTATATAAAACAGCCTAGAGGATTTGAGTATTAGTTTACTCAAATATTGATGCTAACAAATCTCTTCTTTCATTACTAGCGTTTAATCCTATTTCATTTTTTGGCTAAAGCTTCGTTTTAGTCGACTTCCCCTCCACGTCCATCCTGAGGAAACACATTACATTAACTCCGAAATTCTTGCAAATGAGTCTACTTATTTTGAGGTATAATGCATAGATTTGGCCAAGCCCAAAAGTAGAGCGCGTATTTTAATGGATTTCAATCCGTAACTTCAATTTTTGGGGGTCTCCATAAAATAGCTTGCAGCGAGAAGTCGAACATTTTCAAAAAAAGGAACGAACTAAAGATTGTGTAAACCGTTAAAAAGTTTTCCAACAATATGCAACCAGAAAATGCAAGGACTCGTTTAATATTGGGGCATGTATGGACAAGTATGTGAAATTGCAGTCTCCACCTCTAAAACACTGCTAGTGCTCATAAAGCACGACACACATCATCCCATATCTCAGATAATTGGTATCCAGAAACGCAGAAGGCGCTCATAAACTTACTAAGTAACTGGATTAGACGAGGCAGTACCTCTGAAAACAACGATAAGGGGTCAAAATGAGACCGCGAAACTGAAACAGGCGATTTTGCTCTCTAACAATTAACACCTTGGATTTTCTCGCCAGATGAAGGAAATGCCAGGCAGCAACTATTTTCCCGCCATCTTTCACCGTGATAAAAGGTGAGTGGAAGAGCTATTTTGAAGAAGGTGAGTAGAAAGCACATCGCTGTTATTTGTTTTACTCATTTCCCACAATCAAGCAAAACGTTAAAGGAGTTATTACTCTAATTTCAATCTCAATAAAGGATTTGAAGTGATGACCTCAGCGATACTGGTGCAACTCTCTACCCGTACGGGCCTGAATTTTTTTTCAGGTCTTATTTCAACTACTACTTCAGTAGTGTTCATAGCTACGAGGATCGCTTATATCTGTTTCTTCACCGCAGTGCACCTATATGATTTTCATATATTTCCAGACGTAAAGGAGTTATTAATCTAATTTCAATCTCAATACTACTTGTTACAACGATATCTCAACAAAGTCTTATCTTAAATTGGAATAAACAATCACGTGAAAATTATGGCATTTGTTTTTTCAGATGTCAAGATCAGTTTACTTTGCGACACATATCATTCTTGAAAAATTAATTCAAGGCTTAAAACTGCCATTTCAAATGAACACTCAGACATACTCTCTAATAATCTTTGTCAAGGCACTGAACCACTTACATGGAATTACTTTAATAAGATTTTTATAACCACAGGTTACAAACAAACTCATTTACACAATTAAAGTGGAAACATTTCTATTTATTCTCACAAATGGTCTTCATTTAAACCAAGAAGGTGAGTGTTAGTTTTACAACAGAATGTTAACTTAATTAAACCACAATTATTAAACTAGATTAAGATTTAAATGTTTGTAAGATTACATATGCATAATAAATAATATGCTATTCAACAAATATATTCTGCAACCACACGACAAACTTTTTTTAGATGGTCAATTTAGACAAAATATTTTCACAACACATCTGTTCCTTAATGTTGAAATACAATACTTTTTCCCCACATTGGCAATTTCTTAAGTTTACTGTTTATATCAAAGATGGTGAAGATCTACCCAAAGGACCACCTCCTTTAGGTGGAGATTAGGTAAGTGTTGACTGGAAAATAAAATTTTCCTTTTTTTCCATAATGCCATGATTCCACGAAATGTAATGCATCTGTAAACAATTTATAGTCTTCCCTCTCTTTAAGAAGTTGGAAAAGTGACATCATGGCCTCCTTGAAACACAATTTCACTTTTAAACTCTGTGCAATGAAGTTTTGTTAGGTTAGCTCATTGTATAATGCTTTACCTTGATTTAAATAAAATACCTTTTTTTTCAAATTGACAATTACATACGTTTAGTTTTTATACAATAGATGATGAA